CATTTACACTTCTATTAAGCTTTTAGAAATGCAAAGTTGTTAATGGTTTATGGTTCTAAACTCAAATAAGCTTTATCTTTATTGAACATTAGAACACTGGATTTCTGTATTGTGATTATACCAAATTCTAATTTGTTCTTCTATATTCAGTATAAATCATAATTTGGATTTTAATCAGTTTTCTAAGTTTGCTTAAAGCTCCGTGAAGCAATTCTAAAATTCAATAACTATCTTTCACGAATCTTTAATATTTTGCTAAACTTTATGAAATAGTTCTAAACGCAATAAATTTCCTTCATAAAGTGTTCTTGAAATTGATTAAGATTTGTGAAGTAGTTCTAATCAATTGCTACTCTTTACAAAGTCTTTCTAATCTTGCAATTAAGCTTTATGAGGAAGTTCGAAACTTAATAACTATCTCTCACAAACGCTTTCTATTTTCGCTGCAATAAAATTTTGATTTTGTTTTTGAAAGTTTCACTTTTATTTTTCAGAAACCCAATTCACCCCTCTTGGGTTGTGCCATATATATACGGGATCCATATAAATTTTAAAACATAAAATGCATAAATTCTTCAAGATTTATAATTAAAATAAAAAAGTAATAAAATAATAAAATTTAAATAGGTTTTAGTTGGAGTATTATATTTAACACTAAAATTACCTCTTTACTCTTAAATAAACAGGTTACTTGCCTAACTTGCGTGTCAACCCGCGACACAACACGTTTATATTTGTGTCATAATAGGTGACTCGTTTATGACATGAACTCATTTAACCTCAACTCTAATTCATTTATTTCGCGTGTTAGGTGAATCGTAACCCATTTTGACACCCCTAGTATGACTTGCATCAAAAAATGCACAAACACTATTAATGTATTTTTCAACACTAATAATAATTTTGAGAATTTAACTAATTATTTTGAAATAAGAAATTAAGTATTTTTTTATTTTATGTTATGATTTATTATAAATGATTGTTTTTTTGATTTGAAATATTAATGTATTATACTTATTTAGTGTAGTGTATCCTAAGTGTGTGAATTTTCTACTTTTTTAAAAATTATCGTAGCGTATATGTTCTCGTATCACGTGATGAAGTTTTTTTTTAAAAATTATTTTTATATCTTTTTTATAGATGAATAATCAGAACAAATAAGAAGGGACTAAATTTGTTTTTGGAAAAACTTTTGTTACTTATTTTTTTGGATACAAAAGAAAAAGAAAATTAGTTTTTCTCTACAAATTAATTTTTATAGTTTTTTATTTCCTTCTAATTTGAAGAGAAAATTATTGAAATTATTTTCCCTTATATTCGTTTCTTATTTCCAAATAAAATAGTTTTTATTTATTAATATTAATTAAGTTTTTTTTCTCCTATATGATATTATGTGAAAAGATAATTGCTTTATTTCCCTTATAATCCGCACGGTGCACAAGGTAATATTAAAAGATGAAATAGTATTTTATAATATCATTCAAAAATAGTAAATTATATAATAAAATGATAAATTGTATCTTACTCATATATGCTGAAAAATTTCGATTCTTAGATATGTCTTCTTAAGTATCGTATGAAACTTTTTATAAGGTATATAATAGTAAAAGCCATGTATGGTATGACCTACATAAAAAAAATGCATACACACTATTAATATATTTTTCTTTGAGAATTTAACTAATTATATTGAAATAAGAAATTAAGTATTTTTTATTTTATGTTTACTGCATCCACACTATAATATAATTTTTCAATGCATACACACTATTAATATATTTTTCTTTGAGAATTTAACTAATTATATTGAAATAAGAAATTAAGTATTTTTTATTTTATGTTTATGATTTATTATAAATGATTATTTATTTATTTGGAATAATAATGTATTACTTATTTAGTAGTATGTCCTAAGCATATAGATGTCCTACTTTTTAAAAATTATCGTATCTGTACATTCTCATATCCCGTGTCCTGTGTTCGTGCAACCTAGCTTCTGATATATAAGACTACTGCTTATACCAAGCTAATCAACTAAGGTTTTTTTTTTATTATCAATAAAAATAATTTTTTTATTTGCTTTTGTATCATTGAAATAAGAAACTAAGTACTTTTTATTTTATGTTTATGATTTATTATAAATGATTGTTTATTTATTTGAAATATTAATATATTACTTATTTAGTGTATTACGTCCTACGCGTGTGGATGTCCTACTGTTATTACAAATTATCGTATCCCGTTTCCATGCAACATAGCTCCTGGTCTATGAGACTAATCTATACAGCAAGCTAATTAATCCAGATTTTTTTATTACAAATAAAAAATGAAGTGTCTTTTTAATTTGTTTTTATGTCATTGAAATAAGAAATTAATTTTTTTTATTTTGTGTTTATAATTTATTATAAATGATTGTTTATTTATTTGAAATATTTATTTTGTGTTTATAATTTATTATAAATGATTGTTTATTTATTTGAAATATTAATGTATTACTTACATAGTGTATTGTGTTCTAAGCGTGTAGATGTCCTATCTTTTTTTAAAATTATCGTACTTCGCACGTCCTTATATCGTGTGTCTTATATTTGTGCAACCTAGCTCGTGGTATATGAGACTACTATATATATCAAGCTAATCAACTAAGATTTTTTTTTATTACCAATAAAAATGAAGTGTTATTTTTTTTTTCTTTTGTGTCATTGAAATAAGAAATTTAGTGTTTTTTTTATTTTATGTTTATTATAAATGATTGTTTATTTACTTAAAATATTAATGTATTACTTATTTATTTAGTATGTGTTTCAAGTGAGTGAATATTCTACCTTTTTTAAAAATTATAGTATCTCATACGTTTCATATCTCGTGTTTCGTTTCCGTGCAATTCAACTCCTAGTATATGAGACTGCTATAACTTTCTAAACTACTATAAGACATATAAAAAAACTATGAATAAAAAATAGCGAGAATAAAAACAAAAAATCTTCATTTAGAAGGAAAATGGAGCTCATAAGCTAGGAAAACTTTATCTAGTTGAGTATAAAAATTGTACGTCAGATGTAATGGAAAATCAACTTAATCTCATCCAAGAAATTAAGTATTTCTTATTTTATGGTTTGGATTATTTGTATTTTAATTAAATTTTAATTTAATTTAATGTATTATCTTGATGGGATGTAACTAATAAATATTATCATAATAAAAACTATTATCATAATAAAAGAACATATCTAAAAAATATAAACAACTTATTTCATAAAATTGCTTCAATTATACCTTATCTGATTATAATCGCGCTGAATAATTAATTGTCCTCATCTCATACTTGGGCAATTTCAAAAGGCTTACATTTGGTTTTCATATAACAAAACTGATATCTGGGCTTATCATATAGTATATAATATATATATTATTATATATATATATTAGTTTTTGGTGTAAGCAAGGTCCAAGAATTGTTTTAACCGAATGAATTTCTATGAAATCGATGAACTTCTATGAAAATTGACGTCCAAACCAAACAACAACTTCAAATGTTACCGATTAAACTGAACCTCTCTTGAATAAAGTCTGATCGATCATTGAACCGAAATGAGTTGATTTCCAAGTTTCGGTGCATTACAGTCTATATATTAGTTTATGGTGTAAGCAAGGTCAAAGAATTGTTTTACCGATGAATTTCTATGAAATCGATGAACTTCTATGAAATTGACTCCAACCAAACAACAACTTCAATTTAAACCGATTAAACTGAACCTCTCTTGAATAGTTGATCGATCTGAACCGAAATGAGTTGATCCAGTTTTCGGTGCATTACAGTCGGTAGTTTTGCACACCTATATTTTAGTCATGGCATTCTATGTTAGGCATCACCAAATTGCTTATGAAACTAAATGATAATTGTTACTATTTTATTGTTGAGTAGTATTTACTTCTGTAATAAAATTAGATTTTAGAAATTGTTATGAACATTTTTCAATTTTTAGATTTATGAATATTTTTATTCAAATTTTACAAAAAAGAATATTAATACGGATGAAAATCGAACTATGGTAAATATTTTGTATAACTGTATATTTTTATAATTTTATTACTTATTATGTTTAATTATTTTTTACTAGAAATTAAAATAATGACGAGCATAGCTCATGGTAAATAATAAGAGTTATAAATTAAATAATTTACAATAAAAAACAACAGATACAATGTATGTTGTTAAATACTAGCTAGTGTGTGAATATATCGTTAAATGTTATTGTCAAATTTTAATTTATATCTATAAAACATGAGTGTTGCCAAAGACCACTGTAAAGTTAAAGTTTGATCCATAGAAAAAAATACTTATAAAAGGAAAGATAACCACAAACGTCATATATATAGTTTTTAAAATTATTATTTCTACGATTAAAAATATTAAGTTAATAAAAACTAACATGATAAATTTTAAAATTTACATAAATTTTTGGTAAACAACATAATAAATGTTAAATTTTGATATCATCAAAGAATAAATTTATGCATCTCCATCGAACTAGAAAATGTACTACATAAATTAGTTATAAATATGAAGCTAACTAAATTGATAAACATTTCATAAAAAATTAATAATCCATGGGTTATCCTTCTCCATGAAGTTCAATTGGTCTATGTCTTGTTTCATAATCGCAATATGCTCAGATTACCCCTAAGATCTTAACCATGAAGTTACCAAAATAACTTTCACTATATCTTATATTCACGCTGTTGGCAAGAAACTATCGTCTCCTCTACAGTTGTGCATTGTCCCACCTCAAGACATTTACTTATATTAACATAACATCGAGAAGAGTTCGGTGGGAACCATGTATCAGTGCCCATAAAAAAAATATTGTTATTGTTGTTCGTCAATTCCACCAAATATTTAGGAAATATATTAGTTTATTATTTGGAGTTTGGTATTTGTTGATATAGAATTAAACTGAATTTACTAATCAATAATATACAATTCAATTAAGATACTGTACAAAACAGGGTGTCCTATTTTTTTTTACTGGATATATTATTTAGTTGTCCAAAATAGTTTTAATCGAGAATTAAACTTCATACAACTTGAATTTCACAAAGTCAGTGAGACATATCTATCTATGTTAGAATAGGGAATGTCATAGAAGGGAATGGATATTACAGTGATGCTTATATTCCCTATTGGTTTTTAAAGCCCAAGCTTTAAAATAATTGGTTTGTGGTGTAAGCAAGGTCAAAGAATTGTTTTGAGCTTGCTTCTTTAATCAGAATCTACTTGTTGAGGTATTGTTGCAATTAGTCTCACTTGAAGGCTTACCTTGTCGATTGTGGTTGTTTATTCATTAATTGTAGACCATGGTATTGATCCTCCGACATGGATAGACTCTCAGGTGTAGCAACTGGCTCTGCTTCTAACCCTATCCCAACATATTGTTGTATTACCAACACTGAAACTGTAGCAGCAAAATCAGCGGATGCAAGCAAATCTCCAATTGCACCAAGCTCTGGACACTCACTCCAATCTGTAAGTCCTGCTGTAAGTGGAGATATCATCCCTTGCCCTCTTCCAACTATGAACAAGTCATGAGCATTAATATCCATTGCCCTTATTGATGCCACTGTTTCTTCTCCATTGTTCACAATAATTTCAGTGTAGAAGACAGATTCATCATTAGCAGTATGCATCCTAAATTCATTTATGAACTCTTCATCAAGTTGCTTCTCTCTTTGATCTTCTGTTTCCACAGTCAATATCCTAGGGTCATTAGGGTCACCAGGGGATTGTCTTGCCGGTTGAGCTGCATCCTCACCTGGAATAAACCGCAATATAGTTAAGTTTATCCCTGGATGGTCAGACATTCTCCAGGCATATGATAATGCCTCCCTATCATCTGGTCCCCCAAAGAATATCACAGCTATATGGTGACATAGTTGGTTTGTGGCCAGGCGAGTAGAGCCGCTAAGCCCTCTATCTACAAGAATTCCTACTGAGCAAGGTGCATTGGCTAATAAATTTTGGTTCACCATTCGAAAGGCTGGGTTTGTGGCTTCCATTCCACCATCAACTGTTTGTTGTTTATGAAAAGGGATAACTATAAAGGCAACTCGTTTATCCTCTGCCAAGTTACAAACGTCTTCATGCATGGTGGAGTAAGGAGAAATAGCAGTTAAGGGTTGAACATTAACACAAACTGCATGTTGTTCATAATTTTCAAAAGCATTAATAATGTGATCAGATTGAGCTTGAGTTCTGTTAAGGGCGGGCCGACCAGATTTTCTAGTGTTATGAACTATAAGCATGGCAGATGCACGTCCAGTGAGTTCAACTAGATGGAGCACATATACACACATTGGTGATCTCTTGGTAGGGTTGGAGGCTTCTAAGAGGTTGATGATTGTTGGAACATTTCGAGGCGTGTGTACACACACCAATATTCTTAGCTCTGCATCTGGTTTCGATCTTTGGATTGTTCGACGTTTGTATGGTACGAATTTCCTTGTGGGCCTATATATTGCAGTAACAATAGGTGTGACGAGTCCAGTCATAACTACAGCTACTATCACCATGATTGCAAAAGACTCGTCATCTAATACCTGCAGCCCATTGTATTTCATCAACACATGCTTAGTAATTATGCATTAGAGTTTCCATTAAAGTAGTTGAAGCATAAATGTAGGAAAGCTAATTGAATTGCAGATCATAAGTTTAGTAAACCATACCCTTCCTTTCATGAAAAAAGAAAAGACATTCATTTTATAAGCATATATGTGTATAGTTTTGCATATTGTAAGTTGGATTAGTATTAGTATGCATACCCTTTGATCCTTTCCAACGTTGAGAATAATCATTTCAATAAGGCCTTTTGTGTTCATGAGTAAGCCAAGAGTAAGACCTTCGCGTATAGGCATTTGATAGAAGGTTGTAACAATAAGAGTACCAGCAACTTTACCAGCACTTCCAAGAAATATGACAAGTGCTAGAAGCCCCCAAGTGGCAGCTCCCTCAATGGCCCCCACATTAGTTTTAAGCCCACTCATAGCAAAGAAAAGAGGAAGTAGAAGCCCTGACACAAAGTCTTCTAACTTTTCTATAAGAGTAACCCCAAGTGGTCCATTTGGGATTATCAAACCAAATACAAAAGCTCCAAAGACAGAATGTGTCCCAATGGCATCTGTTATAAAACCTGAAATCATCACTCCAGTGAGAATAAGACATATATAAAAGTCACTGAATGTTTCTCCTTCTGGGGTTCTTCGAATAATCCATGAGATGGCTGGTCTAACCGCATAAACGCACAAAACAACGAATGCTCCACTAGATAATATCACATAAAAGGATGCTAAAGAAGCACTATCATTCTCAGCTAGTGCAATGGCAAAGCATAGCAAAATCCAAGCACATATGTCATTAATAAGAGCTGAAGACATGGCAACCCTACCAAGCTCTGTGTTGATGAGTTTAAGCTCTGCAAGGACCCGTGCAAGCACAGGAAAAGCAGTAACAGAGAGAGCAACACCAAGGAATAGGATAAAAGTTCCTTTGTTCATGTCGTGTGCTTCCCTGTGCATAAGGTAAGAGAAGGCCAAGCCAGTGAAGAAGGGCAAGATCATACCCGCAATAGCTATGGCGAAGGCCTTTTTCCCAGTCCTTCTGATTACTGAAATATCCATCTCTACTCCAACAAGGAATAAAAAATAAAGGAGACCCACATTTGCCATTGTTTCAAGAACCATCACGCTTCTCAAAGGAAATAATGTACTTGCAAATGCTTTGTTGCGTCCAAGCACTGATGGACCCAAAATGACGCCACCCTACAAATGGTATTCATGTATTTATATGAATATCATTGATAATGAACAATTTTAATGAAAAAAAAAACAAAAGAATTGCAATTCTTGAATAGAAATCGTATGAGTTGTGGTCTATTGGCTTTTTAAATTGCTAGGAAAGGAAAGGATTGAAAGAATTAAGCACTTGAATCAAAACCCTAATCTGTAAATATATCAAGTCAATCATATTTAAAATCACATGATTTTTTTAAAAAAAAAAATTCAATGTAAAGTAGAATGGTATGTGTATGTCAATTTGGAATTTTTTTAGTATTTTGATTTTCTTTGTCCAAAAAATGCTAAATTTACCTTTTAACAAAAGTTTTTGTCTTGATAACAATATTGAATGAAAATAAACTTTTTCACTAAATTATGAAATTGGATTCTTGAAAAGCATTTTTAACATCAATTTTCGGTTTAATTGATTATGTTAATGAAAAAAATTTGAAAACTTTAAAGGCAAAACATTAAAAGGGTTATGAGGTCAAGAACACCAGAGACGCATTATAAGCCCAAATAAGAAAGACATACTCACCATAATCTCAGATATAACACGAGGTTGGCGAAAAGGTTTGAGGAGGAAAACAAGAACCCGAGTGGTGACAACAACCAATGTCAATTGCAAGATGAAAAGAGGAAGTGAGTAATCTAAAGGATTATCACCTTGCCATACACCATTTGTTGTTATCATAGTTGGTGCATAGCATACTATTGCGTCTTCCGTTGTATTACTCGTTGGCTTTTTATCACCCATTTTCTCCTTCAATAGCCAACCTCACCAGCACTTGTTTCTTTAAAGATTATCCCTAAGCATAGCCTAATATATGCTCTTTTGAATACAAGTAAACATGAATGGATAAGAGCATGGAAGAACGGTATTGTTTTGTTTTGGCTAGAAAGAGAATTTCTTTTTTTTTTTTTTTAGTTTCTTTTATTATGTTTATTTTTCAACAAGAAAGAGAATTGTGAATTATGTTTAACTCTGGTGGCTACCCGCCCCATTTGGTGCTCTCTGTTTTGTGGCGTAAATCAAACAGAGAGAGAGGTCTATTTTAAGAAATTGTAATGATACAACCAACTAAGACGAGTCAATTACTTTCTTTGTTGGACAATGTGTCAATGAAATATCTATAATCAACTAAATGAAAATTATTAATGCAACTATGTTTACTTTTTAGATTTTTCATTTTATGTTTAACCTATAAAAATACACGACTCGAATTGTTCAATCGTTATAAAATGCATCGTAAAATAATAGTGTGTGATGTTTAAATTAAAAATGCATTTGATTATTATTATTATTATTATTATTATTATTATTCACCAAATAAAAATATTCCTTGATGAAAACCAATTTTCTAATGGATTAAATAAAAAAGTTAAAAAATTTCTTACCTGTTTACTAATTTTTGTTATGTATTTGTACTCACACTTTACTAATTAATGACTTCTGAATTACTTTTTAATTTTATGAAGTTATTTATAGATATATTTGTGACATTTTTTTCATATAAAATTTTGGATGTGTTTACTTTAAAAATATTTTTTTTGTTTATTTATTTGCAATTTTATAAGAAAATACTTTTCTTAGAAAATAAAAAATAGAAAAAAAAAATGAAAAACGTGTTGACTTGTTATAATAAAAATATCAATAACTTTCAGAATTAAAAGAAATAAATATTGTGAAACATGTTTAGAAACTTTTTTTTTATTTTTTAAAAATGTATATTAATTTATTTATAATAATATTTTTAATTTGTTTATAATTTGGTAATTTTTTAAAATAAATGGTATCCTTATAAACATATTTTTATGTAACAATAAAATTAATATGTAACCTTTTTTGAGACCTCTCTGAAGACTATCGGAAATTTTTACTTTTTATTTATAATATTTATTATTTTTATTGTTTGAAAACCCTTAATCATCACAAAGGCCACGTACCACTAAATCATTTTTAAAAAATTACTGGGACCTTTCAGAAGCATGGTATTTTACTTTGGTAAAATTAAAGGAGTCACAATTCTCTTCTAGAAAAAACTAATGTATCACAACATAGCAAATCAGATCCCTCAGAATAGGAATGCAATTCATTCCCAGAGACTTGGTAAGAAATTTGGGTACGATCTTAGGAATGTGTTAGGCACTCAAGATTGCCCAATCTATGGGCCGGCCTCTACTATTTGTCCATTCATTCATTTTGAAGCGTTCGGATTAACTTAATTGAAATGTAAAATCGTTTTAATGAAATTTTATATAAAACATGGTATTCATAAAGCATAATTATTCAATCACGTCGTAAAACTAACATCCATTCATAGAAAGGTGGATGAGAAAAGAATTACAATCTTTTAGATCCTAGTTACATTCTACCCAATACATTTATTTTTATAGTATTTTTAATATAGTTTTTATTAGAATTTTTAATATTTTAATTACTTTAATTAGTTTTTATTTTTTTATTTATATTTTATTTAATTCTTAGTTTTTGCTTCCTTTATTATTTTGATCTTATTTTGGAAGGTTTTTATAGGGTTTTAATTAGGAAATTGGCAATTATCAAATAAAGGATTAATTGGACCACAAAGTTACGAATGAATTCAAGTTCTATCCTGATTGATCAACTTGGACTTCTAATTTGGAGGAAATACAAGACTTAATTGTTTCTTATTGTAATTCTATTTCTTCCTCAACAAGTTAGGTGGTGTTCCTAATTAGACTCAAAGAAGTCCTAAAAAGTCTACATAAGAAGAAATCTCTACACCAATTTGGTATGGACTATTCATTCAGTATCATCTTTTACTCTATTCTGTATATATTTTTCTCGCTTTAAAACTTTAAGCCCAAGTTGGGGCAAGATTCAAGGAATTCATTCAAGCCATTCGTCAACTAATTTTTATTTCTACACTCTTTTTAATTTATTTTCAATATTCATATTGACTATGAGAATATTTACAAGTTTATTTGAGTTTAATTTAATTACTATGTTAAACTAAACTTCTATACTAGAGATTTGATATAACTTAATTTCGACTCCAAATTATGAGATTACAGTTAGTTTTCATTGTTCATGATATAATTTATTATTGTTCTTAATGGATCTGATGTAGATTACTTTCAATTTCAATTTATAATATTAGATTTGTTTTCTTTGTTCATTATATATTTTATTATTGTTTTAATGCTTCTAGATAGAGTTACTCCCCTGAATTTATTTATTTTATTAATCACTGTAGACAGAAGGGTTTTTTGATATGAAAAGGATAATAAATTTTATGGAAATACAAGTTACGGTTGAACTTGAAGAAGTGTATGTTTGGGGTAACTTCCGAAATAGTGCTTGGATTTATAGTAGGACCTAAAGAAATAGAGATCAATCTAGACAAGATTAAGGCGATCCAAGAAATGGAGTCGCCAAAGATGAAAAAGCAAGTGAGAAGCTTTCTGGGAAAGATTCAATATATTAGCAGGTTCATATCGAAGTTGTCTATAGTATGTGATCCAATCTTGGTTGGATTTATAGTAGGACCTAAAGAATAGAGAATCAATCTAGACAAGATTAAGAGCGATCCAAGAATGGAGTCGCCAATAGAAGATGAAAAAGCAAGTGAGAAGCTTTCTGGGAAAGATTCAATATATTAGCAGGTTCATATCGAAGTTGTCTATAGTATGTGATCCAATCTTCAAGCGTTTAAAGAAAGATCAGCCAGTAAAGTGGAACGATCTTTACAAAATGGCTTTTGACAAAATTAAGAAATATTTGTCAAGTGCTCCAGTTTTGTGCTCACCAAAGCCAGGGAGACCCTTAATTCTGTAATTGACAATGGAAGATGCTAGAATTAGAGCCATGTTAGCACAAGTTGATGAAGCTGGTGTTGAGAAGGCAGTGCATTACCTGAGTAAAAAGCTTCTTCCAAATGAGTAGAAATATAACTTAATTGAAAGAACTTACTTAGCCTTGGTATGGGCTACTAGAAAACTTTGACACTATTTTCAATCTTCTAAAGTGATAGCAATATCGAGAATGGATCCAGTCAGATATTTATATGGAACACCAGCACTAGTGGGGAAACTAGCAAGATGGCCCAGCACTAGTGGGGAAACTAGCAAGATGGCTAATCCTATGGTCAGAATTTGACATCGAATATACCACAAAGAAAACCGTTAAAGGACGAGCAGTTGTAAACTTTCTAGCAACACATCCAGTTGAAGACAATGAACAGTAGGAGATCGATTTTCCTGATGAACATTTGAGTTTGATATAAAAGAAAGGATGGAAGCTTTATTTGATGGTTCAACTCATAGTAAAGGAGCTGAAGTAAGCGTTTTGCTACAATCCCTACAAGGAGAAGTTACCCCGATGTTGAAAAGGTTACAGTTTGTAGTCACGAATAACATGACAGAATATGAAGCCTGCCTATTTGGGTTAGAAGCTTAGATTGTAATTAAAGCTGAAGAAGTTGAGGTTGTTGGTGATTCGAAATTGGTAATCGAGCACGCTAATGGCAATTGGGAAGTTAAAGAGGACATGTTGAAGCCTTACATTGACCATCTGCGCATTGTTGTTCAAAACTTCAAAAAGGTAACCTTCACACATATAACTAGAGTAAACAACCGAGTACCAGATGCCTTGGCTAACTTAGCATCAACATATAACTAGAGTAAACAACCGAGTACCAGATGCCTTGGCTAACTTAGCATCAAATTGGGAAGAGATTTTGGTAATGCCTAAGAAACCGTTTATGATGTCTTCGGGTAGCATCCTGTGTTATGACGGCGAAAAAATTATGGATATTGAGGAAGAAGAGAAGCCATGGTCTTATGACGTCCTGCATTGGATGACTAAAAGGGTATACCCAGATTCAACTACTAGAGATGACAAAAGACTTATACAGTGTTTGGCATTATAATTTTCAGTCTTAGACGGTCAGTTGTACAAAAGAATGTCAAACGGGGTATTGTTAAGATGTGTATCGAAGAAAGAAGCTGAAGGGATTATGGAACATATCCATGCAGTCCATGCTAGTTTGCGTTCTGTCGGCGTACCCACATTGAACGGAAAAACACTTCTAAGGAATTCTCAGAACAGATTTCTTTTGGTCGATAATTAGACGGTCAGTTGTACAAAAGAATGTCAAACGGGGTATTGTTAAGATGTGTATCGAAGAAAGAAGCTGAAGGGATTATGGAACATATCCATGCAGTGGTTTGTGGTACCCACATGAACGGAAAAACACTTGCTAAGAAAATTCTCAGACAGATTTCTTTTGGTCGATAATGGAAAGGGATTGTATTTCTTTTGTGAAAAGGTGCTCCGAATGTCGAATACATGGAGATGTGAGTCACATTCCTCCTTCAGAATTGCATCCTTCTATTTTGCCATAACCATTTGCAGCTTGGGGAATAGATATCATTGGCAAGATCTCACCACCTGCATCTAATGGACACGAGTTTATAGTGGTTGTAGTGGACTATTTCTCAAGATGGGTTGAAGCAGAATCATTTGAGAATATAGGTGCTAAGCAAATGGCCAAATTTATTGAAAAGAACCTGATCTGTAGATATAGAATCCCCCATCATGTTATGACAGATAATGGACTTCAATTCCAAGTAGAAGTAAAATAGCTACTAGAGAAATATGGAGTCGAACACCACAAGGCTTCACCTTATAGACCACAAGCCAACGGAGCGATGAAGGCCACAAACAAAAACATCAAGAAAATATTGAGGAAAATGGCAGAAAATCACTGTTTTATTGGGCAAGCAAGCTACAATATGCTTTGTGGGGATACCAAATCACAACCGAATCTGCGAATGGGGCAACCCCTTATTCTCTAGTCTACGGAATGGAAGTTGTACTACCAACTGAGATAGAAGTGCTGTCCTTGCACATAATGATGGAATCTTAGA